CTGCTCCACTACATGATTTGACAAAAAAAAGGCCAGAAGTTTGAATGGACAGTTTCTTGCCAGCATGCTTTCAAGACATTGAAAGGAAAATTGGCCTCAGCCCCACTTCTAAAGCTTCCAAATCCCTCACTGCCATACATACTGGATTGTGATGCTGGTAATGTCGGAATTGGAGGAGTATTGTCTCAGAACGTGAGTGAAAAGGAACATGTGGTGACCTACTTCAGTAGGATCCTGAGTAGAATCCTGTGTTTGTAAAATTCTGTACATTTAATTTAATTATTGTTAATTATCTATTGGTTTAATGTAAGTGGCTATTGTTCGAGACTATTGTTATTGTTATGACAGCGGAAGTCATGTGACACTGCTGGAGCATGCGTGATGAGTTTCTCGAATGATCTGGGAAGTCCGAGTGTATTCAAGATGCCCTCTTCGTTAGTATATAAGCCTGGCAGAGAAAGCCAGCAGATATGAATGAATAGAGAGCAGTAGTTACTTTTAGTTCCATGTAATCTATGATTCTGTTAGTTTCGAGTTATTAAGCCATAAAGTGTGTGTTTTGAACTCGTTGAAGGCGAAGGTATCGAGATTGTAAATCGCTGTGATTTATAGCGTGTATTAAAAAAGTTGTAAAGTCTAAAGTGACGAGAAACGTACTGATTGTGGAACTTCTGTGTACTAAAAGTTTGTATCCAGGACGAATAAACTGATTTAATCAAAAAAGACTTGTATCGCTGAAGATCCTCGGATGTGCAATATTCTCTTCCTAATTTTCTTGCACGATCTTTAAGCAGTGTTATGTAAACTTATATCGAAAACAATACCTATACCAGAAATATTACACTGACGTAGCTACATGTACGATGTACCTTACTGAAGTACTCAATTCTGAGTCATTTGTCACTGTGCTTGCAGCGTAATAAATTTATATCCAATGCAAGCACAATGCTAGTTCAGTATAGGTCTGAAGGTATCAATTGGAGTTGGAGTGGAATATCCTTTTGCTAACGTACCATGTGTATGTCTATTGAGACCTAAACATACATGTATGAACCCAGATGAGAGGCATAACAGTCTTATTTTCTTAAGACTTCCTGTTTCTAGGATTGCTTGTCTGCCCGTTAGTATTTCTAAACTTTCCAAGGACAATATATCCTCAACCTGAGGTTCAATTAAAATAGTTAGTTGTCGTCTTCATTAAATAATGGTTTCTATCCTTTGATTAACGAGTCAAAACTGTTCGACTATACTCGTATCCCGTAACCTGTGACATCCATAGACCCTTGATAAAGACGTAAGCCGAAAAGTTGGGTACAAGTAATTAAACATTTTTTTTAAGATGTTCGACTATACTCGTATCACGTACATTTTTCCATTATATTGTTGTAGCTGTATTTCGTAAGCCGAAACGTTGGGTACAAGTAATTAAACATTTTTTTTAAGATGTTTGTCTGTAATAATCCTTTTAATTAAAAGTTCATAATAATAGATTACAAGAAACAGACTGGAGTGGAATATCCTTTTGCTAACGTACCATGTGTATGTCTATTGAGACCTAAACATACATGTATGAACCCAGATGAGAGAACATGATTTAGGTCTGATTTAGGAAACGATTTAAGAAATAATTATTGTAACTGTTAAATAATTATATTTCATAAGTTACATCACTACTTAGAATTTTTAGGCCTTTTAATTTTGAACTGTAATTTTAAGGGGCAGCTCCCCCCCCCCCACCCCAGAGGCTACAGTCTTGATGTGAATAGTTAAATGCTTAAGTTTATGTGTAGAACGAAGAGAGTTATTTATATTCTGTATTGACCACACCAAGTATGAGATTTATATTAAGTCAACGAACACACTGTGAAAAACAATAGACTCAGCATAACTTATTTTAGAGTTGAATAAAATGATAATTTTGAAAGATAGAATGTTTGGTTTGCATTAGATTATGTAATTCTAAGAACTTATGAGTGAAAGCAAAGAAGAATATGTATTAATACTTGTTTGTTTTATTGTTATGCGCAAAGTTACACAATGGTTTATCTGTACTGTGCTCACTACGGTATCGAAGCCCGGATTTTAGAGTAATAAGCCTACAGACTTACCGTTAAGCCACTGGGAGGCATGCAATAATATGTCAACCACACTACATATGCCATATCCAGTGCCGACGAGGCATTTCGCACAACACTAGGCCGGCTAGAATATGACAGACAAGCAAATGTAAAATATTTCAGTATAGACAGGAATGCCTGTAATGAAAGTTATCTTATAAACATAAATTTATTTTCTTAAGACTTCCTGTTTCTAGGATTGCTTGTCTGCACGTTAGTGTTTCTAAACTTTCCAAGGACAATATATCCTCAACCTGAGGTTCAATTAAATACTTGTATATGACTGATATCGACAATTAACTATTCTTTTCACTTGTCAGCACGAAATTTACATGTTTAGTAACTCTGTGCGTGAGTATGGATGTAAATAAGTATGGCCCTGCATTTAATGTTTTGAAGATAGATTGGTGTACCCATAATATTCAGTACATATAACAGTGCTTCGTTATAAAATGCCTTAGTAGTAAGTGTAATGCCTCCAATACAGTGTAGATGTCTTTACGTAATGAAGACATGGAGAAGGATAGGTATTTTTCTTAATGGACTAACTCAACATCATATCGCTCATTTATTGAATGAGTGCCAAAGTTCTAGTCTCTCGCCTCTGGAGGTCAGTAATAAACCAGTGGCAAGGTCAGGAAATAACATGATGAGGAAGCAGAAGAGCCACAACTCCTCAGGAAGATCACCATATTCTAATATTCTACGACCTGCCGCAAATGTTGGAAATGTTATATATTTGAGATCATCGGTTATTGGACACTATTTCCGTTCACTAATTATTCCAAATTTTGTCTTCAATGTACTGACTGCTAAGGTCTGGAGTTAATATGGCGGATGTTTCTGCTTGTAGTACTCAATACATATGAAGGATGATCAGTCATTGTGTGGGCTAGAATCAGCATGCATGGAAGGATGGGCCTCCAATCTAAACTTCCTAATTTCATGTACATAAATGACAATTCTCGTCCACATCGAGCAAGGATCGTCACTGCTCGTCTTGAATAAGAAGCAATTGAGAGGATGGATTAACTGTTGAGATATCCTCATCAGAACCATATTAAGCATTCCTAAGACGAGCGAAAAAAAGCGATAGCACCCCATCTAGGGCCAAGCGTGACCCAATGGTTAGCATACGAGACTGTAGATCCGTTGGTTCATCGTTCGCATCTCGTTACTGACAAAACAGTTATATAGGTGATGGTCAAATCATACTATTTGGTTATACAACAGCAGAAGAAGAGTTTAAGGTGTGTTCTGGTGACTAGCTGCCTTTTCTCGAGCATCTTTTTACACAGATCAGTGTATATTAATACAATCATTCAGTAAATGGCACAGTATGAAACTCTTGTTTGTTGGAAATCTTGATCCTTAGCTAACGTTACGTGGGGTGTATCTTATGACAGTATAAAGACATATTCCTACATGTATGCGTTTGCTTTAGTTCCAAGCAGGACCACAGATTGGCTTATATTAATTAATACTTATTCTCCGAATTCACAATTTTTATAGTTTAAATATTTTCAATTTTCTGAATCACACTTTGCTATATTTAAACTGTGAAATTGATATAAATTACTTTCAAACCATACCTGAATTCAACAACAACAACAACAACAAAAATGCGGTTATTATTGCTCAGCTCCTTGGTTTTTCTAAATTTGTTTCTCGATTCTTGAAGGCTTGTTTCGTAGTTTTGTTTATCGATATACAGTGGATCGTTTTGATATATTCACAGGTTATTGTGTACCACGTCATGTGGAGGGATATAGCTATCATCATTTGAGATCTAAACCTTAAACTCTTGTTTTTTTAACGAAAACTACACAATGGGCTATCTATGCTATGCCTGTCCCAGGGATCTAACATCATATTTTAGTCTTTTAAGCCCGGTAGGCTACTTAAACTGACAAAAGACATTAATTACAATTACTAATATTTCGGCTATTCTATCCCATCAGGATATAATATTTGAATGTCTGTGGTACTAGAAAAATTCACTACTACTGTCATTTTGACTGATATATCTTTATTTGAATCATTTCAATTTTGGATTCCTTTATTATAATTTAGAAGTTTTCAAACTATTACTTACCTGTCTTCCTAGTTAGAACACGAGGCAGTTTTTTTCCCAATTCGAAAGAAGAAAAACAACAGTTTTTTCCTATGGCTGAAAGTAGTTGATGCTAGTTCTCATGTTAAGAGAGAATTTATTTCATGTCTTTAGAAAGATAAGATAGAATTACCGAAGTGTGTTTTTTTTTTTATAACAAAGCTACATCGGGCTAGTTGCTGTGTCTACCGAGGGAAACCGAACCGCTGATTTAGCGTTGTAAATCCGAAGACTTAACTTCGTCCCACTGGGGGTCTAAGACTACTAAAACAAGCTGTTAATGAGTGTTTTAATCCATACCTTAAAAATAATGGAACTTTTTTTATCAGTTTTTTATAATACTTAGAATATCTGAGTAAATTCTACCTGCAAGTATATAATATTTTGACTGAACTTCAGGTCTTGAATTATTTATTATTTTTTAAAACAATTTATATACAAGCTACTATTGATTTTCCTAATATATTATCACCTTATATTTTTAACTCTTGCATATGTGCTGCAACATTTAAAATTTCTCTATCCAGAACAGCCATCAAAGCAGACTAAACAACAATGTAAATACAACTTACATAGTTTTAAGATCTAAGAATGTAAGTGTTTATGATAAATAAATACAAAGGCGTGCATGATTTTTAAACTTGATAGAAATTTCATTATTAATTGAATAGAAATTGCACAAGTAAAACATCAAGTTTAAGTTGATTCATATTAGCACAAAAAATGGTATTTTTAAAGTTTTTTTATTGTTTTGTTTATGTACTTTTCAGGGAGCAAAGTCAAGCCCCAATCCCGGATCGACGTATTATAATACCCATAACCCATATCCTCCTGTCAGCTGTGCACAAACACTTCCACTTGGGACATCCTTGAGGGCATTTTCTCCATCACCTTCAGAAGGCAGGCAGAAAGCACAACCAATAACTACACCAAGTAAACATTTGTATTTATTTCACGTTGGTCATCAAAAATGCATATGTTTTATTGACAAAATAACATAACTCGATGAATAAAAAACAAAAATTACATTAAACTTGCTTGCTTACATCATATCAAATTAGCCTTTTTATTTCATTTCAAGTTATCTAAATCGAAAAACATTTCCGGTAAACATAATTATACATCCATTGCCTTCTTAGAAAAACGTATTTAAAGCAGTATATTCATAGAATTATCATAAGAGTCAATCAAAAATAACTATAGGTTACCTATATTAATATTTTTTAGTAAAAAATTACATTATATGAAATAACCATTTTGCATAGAGACAGATATTTTGTATCAATCAGCCAAAGGAACATTTTGAAAAGTAAAACAACGTAAGTCACATGATGTTAATAACTACATTTTACTGCGTTGCTGTAGATATGGATAGAAATAAACGTTAAAACATTCCAACAAAGTGTATAATACATAATAACGTTCGCAGGAAAAAAGAAATAAAAGTTAGGTCCAAAATTTTTATATGTTTCATGTGTCATGAAATTTACACTGGGAAAAGTGAAAATCTAAGGTGACATATGAATGTATCATGTACATAGTCTAATAATAATAAGCCATGTTCAAGTAAGTAAACGTTTTCTTAAATGTATTAAGTATTTGGTAATTTTAAGGGAAACGCTTTGAATGTTTTCTCATATTGAACATGCCATAAAAGGAAAAACGACACTTTTATGGAAGATTTCACATTAAACGTTTTAAAGCCTCTTTAATTGATAAATATTTAACAAACTATAGAGAGCATGCTTTTAGCAGATTCTATAAAATTAAAAGGTAACCTCAATTTAAAGAAATTGTAGTCTTTCGCACAGAAACAAAAGTACCATGTTTTAATCGTATATTATAAGCTTATTTATAAAACAAAAATTGCTGATTGCTTTTACTATTACTTTTAATATTCTTGCTACTATCATAAGATTTCATGAAAGCAGTTCAAAGAAAGTTGAAATTCAAACGAAAATTTTTTGTTTTAATTTTAGATATATATGTATACCAGTGGAACCTCTTAGCACATCGCACCCTTTCACGATTTTAAGATCTTTTATATTTGTGGGACTAACTATTAATATCTTATTGAATTTCGAGAAATAGTAAAAAATAAAAGTCTTGTCCAAATGTTTATATAATTGCTTACTACAATAGCCACTTTCTGAATGATAATTAATATTGCTTGTTAATTGCTTGTTCTCACTAATAATCTGAAAGTGGAATGTATGATTTAATAACCATGCCTTTGAATGAATGTCGTGTTGAAAATTAATAAAGGGACAATTATAAATAAAGAAATTTTATTATTGCATTTTATTTATAACCTTATTAATGTTAATGTTTTATTTGGGCTAAGAGCTTGTTAAAATTACTTGTTGTGTCATATATGAAACTTTACACATCTGTAGTCGAAACATTGAACAATGTTCCAAAGGAAATTCAACCAAATATTTTAGAAATGACGAGGTAATAATTTTTATTTACCATTTATTTAAGAATTGTTTCTAGTTTCCACGCACTTTAAACTTTAATTATTGCGTTCAGATAACGCATGCGTTGCCTGGTGCTTAGAGTTCAAAAGTGTTGGCATTATCCTCGGTAAAATTAACATGTTATGTGAGAACACACTGCAATAAAGAATAGTTTATACCGAAAACTTTATAGGTGTAGACGAATTTTACTTTCTTATTTATACATAAAAACAAATTATACTTCCCACATTAGCACCCTTCTGAATACGTTACAACAGTACATCAGTTGGTTTATTACCTTTTATTATCAAGCTGCAACCAGTGAATCTTATAGCGTATGATTTCTTATTTATATCATATTCATCTCAAATGTTTCTAAGAGCACGTATAAATTAATTAAAATACTCATTAGCTAAGTATATGTACATGATTTGTGATGATGAAATTAAACATTCCACTATGTTTTTTCTTTATGTTTCTTTTATAAAATAATACTATATAAGGCCCAACATAGAACTATATATATATATATTACTAATATTTTAATTCATGTGCAATAAACTTATTCTGTTTATAAATTGTTATTAACTGCACAGACTAAACTAATGAAGTACAGAAGATTTACTTAATTAGTGATTTGTAAAACTAACAGAAAGTAGTAATACTTCACATAATTATTTTCCTTGTTAACCTTAAAACAATATACTCCCCGATTCACTGGTTGCCTGTAATAGCAAATACAAACTGTCTCTCTTAAAAGTATAGTTATGTGGATTTATTAGAGCACTGAAATAGTTAAGAATGCTTAGAAAATGTACAAACTCAGAGTGTTTGTATAATTAGTTGATACATCTGCTCAGAAAATATAATGCTGTTCAGAATAAGCTAAGGTTGTTCTTATTTACTTTATTTATTATACCTAGTTTCTGTACATTCAAATTTTCTGTTCTCCATTGTGGATGAATTAATTTGCCTGAGAAGCATTTAACTTACAATCTTAGGCTACTCACAGACGATGCCTCGAGGATCAACACAGCTATTATCATATGTTCCTGCACCCCCTAGCCCAGTAAAGAGGCAAAGGGATCAATCCTTGCCTCCTGGTAAGAACTGTTCCACCATCTCATCATTTGCATGACTTTGTGATTATTTCATTGAAATATCGATATAGTTGTTGGGGCTTCAAAGTAATTGTTTGTTTCTTATTTGTTACATTTCTATAACTAAACATGCTGAATGATTAAGGTTTGACAACTGATTCTGAATATTAATTAATGGAGAAAAATTAAATTATATATGTTTAATGAACTTGTTTTGTTAAATTATATTAATTTGTTGTTGCTTTATGATACTTGCTCATTTTATATACTTTTCTATTACGTATATTTAATTGTTGTTTTCTGATATCCGTTTGTTTTATGTACCGCTTTTATTAAATTATATTCAGTCGTTATTGCTTAATGATACCTGTTTAGTTTACATACTTGTTTTAGGCAGATTTTGTTAAACAAGACCGATGTCTGTAGGTTTACTTTCTTCTTAGAATTCTTCTCAAGAAGTCGATAAGACCGTCTTAACGTTGTTAGAACAACGGGT